ACAGAGGATGATGCTCCGATCATTACCATGCTGAATATTACTCAGTTTGTGCATTCTCAGCCCAACACCCCCTCAAAGTACCTATTAGCATGGCCATGACAGTCACGAGATTTTCTGAGGACTGTTCAGGACAGCCCACCACCCACCGGAAAAACACGTACTCTTGTTGGCCAAGACCTACCAGCGCTAAGGTGCCTTGAAATTCGGCAATAAGGTAAGGGATAATTAAACCTGGAGCTAGGACGTCGGTGTTGCCTCTGCTGGTATGCGGTCTTTTTTACTTTTTCTTTTTCTCTTAAGCAGGGGCTCGGGGAGTCGGTTTTCGCTGTGCTCTCGGCCCCCTATCCAAGAGAGGGAATTCTGAACGTCCTAGCGCGAGGTTCAATTATTCGAGTTCTTACGGCACATCACATTACTGTCAGCAAAATAGCCTTCTCCCCCACTAAACCCTTGTCGGCGAATCCCAACCCCGCCAACTTTCCCATCCTACCGGTCTCCCCCCCGCGGGGCTACCGGCACATGTGCATAATATTACTGAGGTGTTGCTCTTTGCAATATAAGACCTTATGTGTCCCCTGTTCATTGTCTCTACAGTTCGGTTCCGAATGCTCAAAACACCATCTACAATCTATCTTGTTTAAACGCGATAGCAGCGTTTTCTTATCTCAAAGGGTTTGGTGGACTACCGTAAGCTTGAATAATTATGCGTTGTACACGAGTACATGTAGTCTCCCTCCCGGAATTTCCTTCTCTGGAAATGGGGAGAAAACACAGCAAAAACACAGCCCTTTTCATCCCTCCGAGACTGGAAAGAGAATAAAAGTTTCTTGACCTTGCTGAGAGAGGAAAGCCAAACGACACAGCACACCATCCAATTATTCAAGATTTTACGGTGTGGAGCAAGATGGGAAGATGCATTCATCCGGGATGGTGGTCGCAGTGAACACCCCTGAGCCCGGTGGTAGTAATTTATGGATTTATGTTTGGAAGGAGGGCTGCGAGGAGGGCCCGCCCATGGTAGTACTTGGAGCGAAGTGTTTTGGTTCCTCGTCTTGTTTAACATCACACCCCTGGGCTCGCTTGGTTTCTGGTGAATTTATGAGCGAACACCGCTGGTAAACCCAGTTGCATTGAATACTGTGCTAGTAGTGCTCTAGGTAGACTTCACCAGGTGTGAACCCCCCGCTGCATTAAAGCGGCTAAACAGCTCGAACTCCATCCTCTCTGCAGCCTTTGGACCGCTCATGATCTCACCCATCATGTCCGTGCCAGGCGGGAAATCGTGCTCAAAACAAGGCTCCCCAGCTCCCTTCATATTCGTGAGCACTGCCTGACGAAAATGCCAGCGGAGAAGCTGATCGACCGGTCGGCGTGGATTATCGAGGAACGTCTGATCAAGTCGGTGAGGGAGGTTAAATTGAAGGGTTTCCTCTGCGAAGGAGACGATCTTGTAGTTATCCTACACAACCATTAGCCGCGAAGACTTGAAGATCTAGCCATCCATACATCGGGATTAATTGTCAAATCATAGATATCAAAAAAATGTTGCATTCTAGAATCGAGCAAGATCCCATTCTGTACAGAGTTGATCAATCCATGGGACTCATTGGCGGGCGGAATGGTAATCCAACGGCCGTAGTTGTGATCGTTCCAGTACCCCTCGTATGCCATGGGAAAGATGTGAGCGGCTTGTATGGCTATCCACCTGCCTGGCACTGGTCGGTAACCGCTTAAAATGCAGCGTCCGTCTCGCGCACGTACTTCATCACGGAACGCGGCAACACGGGTTCCGGACTGCAACAAAACCGTACGAAGCAGCGGTACCTCGTTAGTGAGAGTAATGGTACCTATTCACAGTGAGTAGCGGCTAAAGATGGAAAGCACAAAAGAAAGCCACCCTGAGTGACAATATAGTAATTGCCCGGTTGAAGCTGTGCCTCATCCTTTTCAACCAACTGTCCGTGCTTGTTGTGTAGCTCGAAAGTGTCGCCAAACAAACAGAAAACCTCCAGCATGGCATAGAGATTGCGGTTTGTAATACCTGGTGTGGCCCAGAGGCCTCCGAGCACGGTATCACGATCGTTGGAAGCGTAAATGAAAGTATTGCGCCATGCGGAACGATCAGTAGACGACATGTTTGGCTATCTTGGTCTGTCAATGATGTCGTTCTAACTGGGGATGGGGGAGAAAGGAAGACATGCATTACGGAAAAAAGAAGAAGAGAATGGAATGCTTTGTATTGACACGGAAGTCGAGGATCTGGTGGATCGGATGCAAGAAGGCAACAGAGAAAAGCAAACATACGAGTAAGTTACCGGTAGAGAAGCGTAGGGCGGGAACAGGGGATCAAGGCTTATATAAGCACTAAACCCTCAACCCTAGCCTGATCTAGCTTACGGGTATTCCCGCTATTGGAATGTACTCCAGTACGGCACATAGACTGATTCCTTCAGCAATTAGGGACTTTGCAATTTCGCATCCAGAGTCAAATTCTAGAGATTTGGTTGTTCCAGAGCCGCAATTGCCTCACATCCAGAGTCTTTTGGCAAAGCCTCCATTAGCACAACTTAAGTTACGTACAGTACGCCTAGCCGGTTGATATGAAATAAACGTGCTCAAGGCCAAGATAGATGTCTGATTTCGTGGTTTAGTTGGTTATACACCATGAAACCCCCCAACCATCCACCAAACTCCCCCCGCGAACCCGAATGGGAAAGTGATGATTTACTCCTTTGATCAAGAACACATTTTTGATCGACCTCCCCAACTATCCTAACTCCAACTTAGAGGTATTTTGTGGAGCCCGCGCCGCATAGGTAGGAACCCTTCTCCCTTCTCATATTATTATGCTTAGCACGACTCCAAATACCGATTTTCCCCTTGGTGTCGGTTGGTGAACTAGCACTGTGTTTTCAACCCAGGAATGATGCCCGATGAGCCCGCCCCAGAACCAGAATTGTTATCAAATATCATAACTTGCTGCCGAGTAGATACCAGCTACCCAGATTAGTCATCTAGCAGGGTCAATACCGCATACCTTTTGCCAACCCTACCTCAACAAATAGTCTAGGTTCTTGGCCTTATATTCCATTTCAGATGCCTATCACAGGATTATTTGTTGTCGTCCAAGAAGTATTCGTGGACAACACATGGTCTAGGTGGGCATATACCTGCCTAGACAAGAAGCAAAAGTGCTCAGGTATCTTCACTAGACTTTAGTGAGGGTTTCCTGACCTACGGTATCAACCAATGTGCCCAACCTGCTAAATCCCCCTACACGGGTCTCCGTGCCAAGAATTGGGAGCTCTTTTGGGATAGCTTCCATGGGGCCATAAGGTAAGGGATAGTCTGCCTTCTTTAGGGGGATTTAGCTGGTTCTGCGCAAGGATTGCTAGGCCCATACACGCTCTGTAAGGGGTTTAGTCAAGATACCCGAAGTACGAGTACCGTATTTTTCTTCTCTCCTAGGTGGTTATACCCGCCTAGAATATTCCTTGTCCCGGGAAAGCCTTCAAAAAGCAACAAATAGTACTGGAACAGATATTATAGGTGGAATATGAAATAAGAGACTTGGGCTATTTGCCAAGATGGATTCGAGAAAAGAGCACAAAGATTTGATGCTGCAAGAGGGTAGGAAGGACGAACCAAAGGCATTGTCAGGAGACTATTTGGAATTAGTAGTGTGATCGGGAGATATGAGATAATAATCAACCTTCACGAAACTCATGCTAAATCCCTAGAAAATGGTTGGGCTAAGCCTAGGAAGCGATTCCACTCTTGTTATCCTAGGGGCCTTTGCTCCCAACCAGCTGAATCCCTCTTTTTACAGCGCTCTCGGGGGGGGGAGGGGGATCGAACTCGGCTCAAAAGGGAAATTGAGGACAGCGGAAATAGGAATGGACAGGAAAAGAAAGCAAGAAACGGCGTATAATGGTGCATGCATATTTTTTTTTCTTTTTTTCTGGGGGTGAAAACAACAGTACGTAAACTACTGGAGGAAAATGTCAAATGCAATTCGAGGTAATTGACCCCTGCCAAAACTCCCTTGGCACAGAACTACTAGTAACATCACATGGTACCGCTTATCTTGCAAACACTATGGAACAGTTCGGCACCATAAGCAGCGTTTGCAGTGGTCTGGGGAGCCCTGAAGTGGCGCGTCCAATGACTACCGTGCTCGGATCAGATGGGGCAAAGACAGGGGTGGAAATGTCACTATTGACTCCCGAGGTTTGGGTGCTGTGGCCGGCCAATCCAGCGCCTGTGGAAAGGCGGGATCTCCACCGCGTGACATGTTGTGAAATAGCATGCAGGAACCTGATAGGAAAGGTTCACCTAACAACAAGGAGACAAATGTAGAAGAAAACTGAGGGAAAGAGTACCTGATTTAAATGGATAAGAAATGTTGTTTCATTGATTGTCAGTCTGCGGTGTTTGTCCTCTACCTTGGGAAGTAGTGGTGGGTGGGCGTGTCTCTCACTCTCCTTGTTGTAGACGCTCGTCCGTGGGTGTTAGTTTTGTGGTTGGGCTGGAGATTATTGCACTCAACAGGGAGAGGGTCATTGCTAAGGTTTGGGTGCGCTCTTCTTCTTCGTCAAGCTCATCTTCCACACCGCTTAGTCTTGAGACGGGCATAGACGAATCGGAGGTAATCTTCCCAACACCTTTCAAACTTGGTGTGGCAATGTCTGTCCTAGGAGCGTCTAAGCCGTTCAAATAATTCATATGCTTATCTAAGACCCCCCGCAACAATCCGTAACACTGCCGTAGGATTCTTAGTGATAACCGCCTCCCCCCGCCCACACAACACCTCGTGCAAAATGTTGAGCACAGCAAACATCTTGACCGGATCCTTACCCTCGGTGTTCGGTCAACTGAGCCAGGTCCTCAAGTTCTCCAGGAACAAGTCATTATCGACATCACCACTAACCCCACCGTTCCAAAAGCCCCAAGAATTACTGAATACTGGCCTCAGCCTTTCCCACATCGAACCCCATAGCGCCCTCAATCCGACACCGGATCTCGATCCCACCCTCACTCCCAGGTCCAAAGTCACATGCCTCCCCGCTGGAATTGACTATCCGCGCTTGAATCCGGTGAAGGGCGGATTGGTCGAGGAGGGGGGGGTCTTCCTGTAGGCTTTTAGTAGCACGAGGGTACATCCGCGCCAGGTTCTTCTCCCGGTCGACTTTGCAAAGTTGGTTAGCGCCCAGAGGGGGAGTGCTATTGGGAACATGAGTCTTTACGGCACTGTAGGAGAGGGCTGGGAAGATAGGAGGATTCGTAGGTGGTGAAAAGGGCTCGTCACGCCTACTTCTGAGACTAGGGGTTTGGTGTTGTGCTCTTTGGCTGTGTCATCTTCCATCTCGGCAACCAGGGGCTTTCGAAGTGGGGCTTCTGATGTCGTCGCTTTGGTCTTCCGGGGCTAGTGGTGCTGGTGGAGATTTCTTCTGCGCCTCGTCTACCTTTTTGAGAACAATCACCTCCTCCTTCAACCACGCCGAAATACGCAAATCAAACCTTGA